TCTAGGTTGGAAAATCGTTGCAGAGTTCATTTGCTAACCTCCTTCTATCATCTATACCCTCAACTCAACACCCATTTCATTGTATCGTGGGATGTAGACGACTAACAAACATACGACATATTTGACCAGCCAAGCGTAGGCACAGAGTAATTTACACCAAAGATAATAGCATTCATATAGCAACTTGAAACTTGAAAGGCCTTTATTCGTGCAAGTCAGTCTAACCATTTCACTGTCATACACAGTTGGCTTATCCTCACTAAACTGACCATTGACATCCACTCTTACAAACGGACCGATACTAGCATAGTCATAGCACGAGACACATGATTTCGTGGACGTCCCTTTCATTGTGGATGACAACACCGACGACGACTGAGCGATACAAGCTGAGGAACTTAGCGGTGCATCAGAAGCTATCGCTGTTTGACCTTCAGGAGGTTGTCTAACCGTAGGGTTATCGCCACTGCTATCTTTCATGGTTAGCTGCAGTTCAGCACTAACATCTGTCGATAGGTGGGCTACACGCTGATCATTTACACTGATGGTTTCACAAGTATCCATACCTCCAGCAACAGCATCTGCCCTTAATTCTACTTCACGTTCAAATTGTAAAAAACGTTTATTCAGCTCAGTAGTAGTAGACATTCCTTATAGCTCTTGCAGCAACTCTGGTGCAGTAGATCAACAAATACATCAACTTCATCTCATCATTTAATAAAAAAGTACTCAACACGATTTCAAACTCCTTTACAAACTGTGGATAATTAGCTGGATTTCCGTCGAAACCTTGAGGTTCATTCTTAGGCAGTTCTAAAATTCTTATTATCCATAGACAGCGAAACATGAACCACAGACTCATCACGCTGAGCATCATACATATCATTACAATTAACAAGCAACCCAGCATTAATTACTTTCCTGCCTGCTTCCAAGATGCTTTGTCTTTTCTCTGACCCGGGCATCACTGAACTTGCCCAAAGATTCCTGAAAGGTTCCAGATAATACTTGTCCAAAGAAGACTTGCAGACACCAAAAAAGACGAACAGAAACTCTCAGAAAATGTCAGCCAGCTCTCATAAACTGTCAATGTCCAGATCTTACCACGCTTGACTTCACGCTGTCCCTCGAAGACTTTCAGAAACAATTTGTAATAACCAAACCGAAAAACCAGAACAGAGATTGGCGACCCGAGAATCCTTTATTCTTATTCCGATATGTAACCAACAATAAGGTTATTACCCACAAGGTCTAAGAATAAATGTTATAAAAATAAATTACGATAATATTTCTGATAGTTTTTCTCTCTTCCAACGAACAGAGAGCGATGAGACGATGACTGCTGGATTGATGACTACCACGAAAAATATGGAGTTGATTTGAGCAAGTAACCGTGTATTGGTCGTTCAATCTTCAACTACGTTGACATACCCTCTGTAATATTTTAGCTTCAGTTACATACATTACTTTCATAAGCTTATATATTTTAAAGGTAAGATATCCTATAACATGTGAATGATACGTGTGATTTCGTTCTTTCTTTGGCGGTCACCGGTGCTCAGTGTTTTACTTCTCTTTTTGTTGGCGGTTTGCAGTTGATACTACTACGAAAATTGTTATCGGTACATTAACTGACGTCTTTCGAGAACAGCATTACCATTTCAGTAACAACCTTCTATATTTACCATTTGTGATGCACCCTTTAACCAATGTGCACCGTTGGCTAAATCTGAACAAGTATGACGCCCAGGATGACACTATGTAAATCGCTTCTACCTACGTAGACTGATCCTATCGACGTAATCCACTACCTTGTATTATATGTATCTTGTCCACTTGAATGCTTGTAAGTATGCTTGCTAAAAGTATGTATTATTTAACAAGCTGAAAGTGCTACTAAACTGACGTCCCTTATATGCAAACAGATGAGAATAAATTATTATATGGTTACAGACACTGCATAGTTCCAGTCTCCACATCTCATTGTTTTGTGGTAAATGAATGAAACCTGAGACATACTTTCCTCCCTCCATTACAGCGAGGCATTATTAGCCAGTAGATGAATAGTCATATATGTCTCATTTGTCTTCATGGATGGCTGTAGGCCTGCGCCAAAAGCAAATCGGTGACACAGTCATTGTTGGATGGCTGACCGTTTCGCCTGCATTTGCGTTTTCATTTAGGGTCTTACCGATAGTTAATCAGTGCTGTAATGTGAGAATGATGACTAGCTCAATCAATCGGCCTGCTTTATTTCCACAGCAGATAATTAAATGTGTCTGTGTAAATCTCATTTCCAAGGAATCACACGAATTTTCGAGTACATAATGGATGCTGTATTATTCAGTAATTAAGTTCTTCCCAGTGCTTTAGGCTCATCATAACAATTTTCGTGATTGCTGAGTCATTATATGGGAAACTATCTGATAGAATAAGTGGATTATTTAAATTACTCTAGCCATCTAGCCTTAAGATCAGAATAACGAGATAAAAAATCTTTAAAACGTTCGAAACATCCATTTTGCAAATGCCCGATTGTTCATCGAAGTATACACTCGAGCTGAAAAAATTTGCCCTTTCACATGCAGAATACAAAGAACGAATAAGATGGGAAGTTGTGTGTATAGTTCTTAAAAGTCTGCCATCAACACAAAAAATCTTGCGTCAGTTTTACTTTTGCTGCAGTTTACTGAAAGTTCCCAAATGATTTTCTGTTTTGAAAACTGTGCTGCATTTTCACTCCGGATAACCTTTCACCCCAACTAACAGTTTTTTCAAATCTTCTCGTCTTTGAAAGGATAGGAGGTTTGATAAACACTCACTCAGAAAACGCAACAAAGTTTGCAGTGGGAAAATCAAGTATAACGATAAATTTTTCCTGATACTCCCAGCACCCTGTTTACATAATCGTGGCTTAACTGGTATTCACTCGACAACAGCGCAGTTATGATGACTGTGACATATAACTCCGACAACGAGGACGCCATGGTTCTTGTGTATCTCGGTGAATAGAAGGAAAAAGAGATCATGGCCGAAAATAACTTTGTCAGTAGGGGTGAAAATTAGAATAAATTGCGACAAACAGGTTTACGGTGTTTTAGCACAAATACATGAGTCATCTTGCTTAGCTTTATTGGATGCAATCGCCCAACATTTAGACTTGCCTCTTGCATTTTTCATTCTTCCACGTTAACATAGTTTCACAAGTTCACCCATGAACCTGGTATTCCCCAATAGTCTCACCTCTCATATAAGGAGTCACAGTCTGTTCGATCGAATGATCTGAACGGATCACGACTGTTAACAACGCGGTCTTTTCATCGGTAAGCAGCAATTGTATTTCTACTCATACAAACATAGATATACACAACCAGACGTTCTGAATTCACGAAAAGAAGGTGAGTGGATCACAACAACCCCACTAGCCATCAAGTGCTGCTGACCCTTACTTCAAAAAATATTTTCGTGGAAGTCGCTGATCACCCTTTGAAAACGGACTCACTGTACCTAATATTCTAACTTCGCGTATCACTGAGACTATTAGGGACTACTTAAGAAACCTTGATAAGTACATAACAAATCGAATCTCGTCTATGTAGCAGAAGAAGTGAGTAGAACCCTTCATGGTGCGAACAGTTTCCTAGTGTTCTAAGCAGCAAAGCCAGAACTTCAGGTGAAAATAGAGAACACGGGGGGATGAAGATAACCGACCAAAAGCAAGAGCAACAACAACCAACACCAATCACCATCAACGAGAGCATTTTGAAAGAGGTTGCTTTTTTTTACTGATCCGGGAAGCATTGTTTCAACAACAGGCACATGGCACGGTTGATGTCAAAGCCAGAATCGGAAACTGGTTTGGAAATCTTCTGCACGCCTCGGCAAAAAGGAACAAGATTAGGATTTTTGGCACAAATATTACGTCGTCAACTTCTATACTGGTCAAAAACTTGCACTGCACGTCACACAGGGTATTTCTGATAGGCTACTGCAGAATATTATCAACAGCTCACTTCGCTGACTCCTTAATAAAGATCAGATTACCGACCAGAAACAGTTAGCAACAAGAAACTCCGGGAACCAGTCAACCAACCAAGAACCTATAGTTCAACATATCTGTGGGAGAAAACGGAGATGGATCGGACCAAACCTAGGAGACCGTCGTATGGCATTGCATGCCAAGTCATTGCTCGAGTGGAATCCAAACGGGAAACGACGAATGGTCATCCGAGAGTGACACAGAGGATATTGTGTGAGGAGTAGATAAGAGATTATGAGCAATCGTGGACCCGGTTGAAGAACATAACACCAAGTAGAACGAAGCAGAGGTGTGTTGTTGAAGCCCTAAGTTCCAATCGGAACCCAAGGGAATAATAACAATTTAATAGTACTACATTACTGTGTGATATTCAAAATTATCTTATCTAATATGGAATCATCTTCGAAGTATCCAATTATAACGTCAGCTTCATTCTTGTGACCGACACAATAAAAATATCCAGCCTTCTGACATTGTTATAGAAGACTGCTTTATCACTTAAATTCTAAAATTTATCAAACCTCTTTCCGTCGATCTTATGAACACATGTTTCAATGACATATATCATCCAAATCCAATAAATTACAACAAATGTAAGTAAATAAGCAAAGTGAGAAAAATGCGACTACTTAAATGACGAAAGATCTTATATTCAACATATTTTTGTTTCAAGAACAAGGTGATTTAATCTGTTGAAGTACGAATTCAATTCATCTCCTTTTAGATAATGCTTGATTAATCGATAAGTTGACTAAATTTAGCGGTAAATTTAAATGAAATATAATGGCTCCAAAAAAGAACCAATCAATAATACAGGTGTTAAAAATGTCAGTATAAATATGTTTGTTTATCCCTATGCCTACTTATCAGAATATACATTCAAATTACAAAAGTTACGCATTTATTGATGCGCATATATATATATATATGTATACAGCAGTCTTTTGGATAAATATACCTTTTAAATTATTACGCACTGACCAGTAGGACAACGAGGTGAATGTGAATAGTTTTCTTTATTAGTTGGTATTGAACGATCTGGCTTGATGCTGTCTGTTTGATCGCCCTCTTCTTTAAAAGAGTAAACAAAAGTTTTAAGTATAAAGTATAGTTGGAAAAGTAAAGTAAACTACGTTAGAGCTAGGTTTTAATAAAAAGTTAGATCAGAAATTCTGGAGTTCCTTTGCAAAATAAAACAATTAAACTAAAAAACGCTTGGACTGAAAACTGAAACACACTTAACGTTTTGCACTTTCCTTTTGAATTTAAAGTTACAACCTCTTTCCAGATGATCGTACACTAATCATCTTGACTGTTTGCTTCAAAATAACTGTTTCAACATATTCATCTGTTCATAAAAACTTATCTTTTACCTCACGTTTCCAGTGGAACAAAGGGTTTCAAACTAGAGTCAGCTTTAAGTTTCGGTAGCAGGGGTGTTTATCTTAACCGGATGGGGCAAAGTTACACTTTCGACACCACTAATAACCAATCAGCAAACGACCTTGAACGAACCAATTACATTAAAGAGGCATATATGATGAATGGAAATGTATATTTATAGAAAAAAAATCACAAAATAGAGAATGAAAAAGTTACATGGGATATCTTTCTCGGGCGAAGTTTAAGAATAGCGTCCCAAAACCTTCAACGCTCAAATGACCTTGAACGCATGCTAGTCGTTGGCTAACGGTTCCTGTCATTATCATAGCTGAAATATCAACCCTATTCATCAAATAAGGAGCAAGTTTCACCCAGATAACACTTTTATTACTGTTTGGACAATGTGTTAACATCTCGTTGGGGTTAGGATAGGGGTTAAGTCGAGTATTGTGGTTAGGGTTAGGGTTACGGTCATTGTGTGCGTCGGTGGCACAATGGTTAGGGTTACGGTTTAGGGTTAGGGTTATGGTTAGGGTTTAGGGTTATGGTTAGGGTTTAGGGTTATGGTTAGGGTTGGGGTTAGGGTAGCGATTAGGAATAGATTTTTCGTTTATTTCAAGTTCTTTTGTTATCCTTATTTCCATTGTATGTAGTCGCCAATGCTTCCACTGGAACCATAGTAACTAAACCGAGGGCTGAGGAGAGGACTACACAGCAAGAGAAGAGAGATGAACCATTCCCAAAACAGCACACCTTCAGTCTCTTTGGTGAATACATCTACAGAAACTAGTCCAAATTAGCAACTGATACTCTTCATCGCAACTGGAACGTATTTTTAAGTCATATCAGAGAAATATAATCCGTTTAATGTTTTTTTCACGCATTTTTATGTAAATATACGTCAAATTTTATGCGAAATTCCTCCTATTTTCTGATTGGTCGGCTCAAGGTCATTGTGCGTTCGCATCTCTTGGGACTCCATTCTTAAACTTTGCCCTTTCTCGAACATGTGAGAGAAACATCTCCCAGTTTAGCATGGGACTGTCAATGCTTTTCCATCTGCTATCCTTTCGACGAATCCCTTTCGGAGGGAGGTGTCATACAAACCTATTACCCAAATATTGTTCGTCCGCTAGCGACCACGGTTGTATTTCTTTTTTACCAGCACTGTCTCATCGACACGCACGACAACGTCTTCCCCACCTAGCAAACAAGTGATTTTCCCCATTTTCCATGATGCGATGTCTCTGCAATGCTGGTACCACTGAACTGTTGAGACATGGCTATTCTCCATCTCGGCAGCTGCTGCTCTCACAGCCTGTTTCAACACCCGTTAGTTGCAGATATACAAAATCTGGGTTAGGGAGAGATGCGACCTAGTGAAAGTAAGTTTCTACGAAATATTAAAATTATCAACTTACCCTCTCCAGATGAACAAACCCATCAGTTGATTTGGTATAGCTTTTTAAAGTAATGATACAACCACACAAACAAATTCGCTCTTTCCGGAGCAACTCAAATCCAGGAAATAGTGGAAAACATTAACCTCCTCGAATTGCAACTGTAGCGTTGTAAGGTCACGCATTAGAAATGAATCAAGCGCTATACAACATTGAGCTGCGTTCGTGAACCTCATTGGATAATTCGACATCGTTCGTGAATCTCATTGGATAATTCGCTGATTGGTAGTTGGTGGTGTCGAAAGTTTAACTTCGCCCCGGATGGGGTTGCTAACGTCATGCCCAACCTTCCCTCTTTACCAGTCTTAATACTGATTTAGCGAGGTAAATGAATGCATCAGTCAGAGATCAAACCCCGAACCACGTTAGGCATGGCTGGCCAACACCCTACCTCTGTGCCACTGACCCACGTATTCACCCATAGTGGTAAATAAGTCCCCAAAATTATCAGACTACAGCACTGAATGCTCACTTTCACTATTTAAGTCAACTTGTTAAGCTGAAGGTTCGTGGTCAGACATTCACAGCATTTGAGACGATGTCGTGTCACATTTGGGTTAGTCTTAAATGGTCTTTAGTTAGTCACGCAATCGTCATCGCTCTACTTTTCTCATCTTGAAATATATCTCGTCCTTCGGACGATCAGTTTTTTGTTTTAATTGGTCCTTGCTTTAAGCAGAACCAATACTTTGAGAGTCAGTCACAAGATAAACACTTGTGTCTGTATACAAAGTGTCTCATGTATCCGTCAACATCCCTTCAACTCTTAAAAATCCTTCTCAAGAAACCTGTTGATTCTGAGTATGATCAAAGAGTTGATCAAATTTCTTCTCGTCATCCAGACAATTTGTGATATTATAGTAATGATGACAAGAGTATTTCAACTGAAGAAGAATTCGATTCGAGTATCAGATTCCAATCCAGCCTCAAATTATTTAATGCAGCCTTTACCCAACAACTATGGATGATAGCCGCCAAATACATGAGAAGTCTGTTCTAGCTAACTGAATAGTAATTAACTAGTTAAAGAATTGGATGGAGGATTTCATCATTAGCTGACATCGGTTAAAGAACAACTGGAAAACCTGAAGGGAGTACTGGACTGCTGTTACGTCCTAGCTGGGGACTTTTCATGAGTACGCACCCACCATCAAGCTTTGAAGCCAGGACCTTCTGGTTACAAGGCGACCTCGTAGACCATTAGGCCTTTGGGACCTAACCCGATCCAATGGTCCATGAATCCTAACTTCTGCCAATTCACGAAGAATTGTTAGAAAATCTGGATTTTATTTTTTATTATTGTTCTGAGTTGCTTATTCTAGGATGATTACTAGTTGAAATTTCATGGGCTGATAATCCTATGACTAACAAGTTAGCTAACACTCTTCAGACGAAGTAAATGCTTATAGCCTTGTAACAACAGAAGACAAGGGCCAGGCAACAGATCGTTTATTAGATTTGCATGTGCATACTATAGATTATTGTTAGCAAAAAACAGTCTTCTGATTGGTTGTTTCTCACAGAAAGCTAACCTTGCATCTCTTTGTGGCTGTTTCTTGAATATCAGATCATCTATATGTTAACTATCTCCGCCTACGAAAAGCCTTTGTTAAGTTTGCAATGTGGCCACCGTGACATTAAGTGGCTCGCCATCATATTTTACTGTGAATTGTTGATATTAGATGATTAGAGGCAATCGGCCATAGGAAGCCTTACTTGACCTAGGTTTCGTGCTAGCCGGCACTCACCAGTTAACAAGATATATCTTCAGTCTTCAAGCACTTGTTGTCCCTTCTGAGATTCAAACTCGCGTTGTCACTTAGTGCTGCAGTTAAAAACTTTGATACTGAGGAGCTATTCGGACTTAGTTACACGAGTTACTAGATAGATTCCAATCAAAGTATCCAGTACATTCCTACACGAGGTCAATCACTATCCCCGAATAGCTCAGTGATGAAGTCCTTGACCCAGTCAGCACTGGGTGACGACGTGGGTTAAGATCTCAGAGGGGATTCGGATTCCCCAAGAATGTTGATATGTTTTGCTGACTGGTGAGTGCCAACAAGCACAAGACCTAGGTTCCAAGGCTTCCTAACGATTTCCTCCAATCATATAATACCTGATGATATATGCTTATTCAAAAAACAGTACATTTTTTATACATGTATATGGGTGACTGTAGCATAGCTCAATATGCTGTGGACCAGGAAACAAGTTATACAAATATTGACTGTCTATCTACTGGTCAGACAAGTAATCATTTACATTTCAGACTTTTAGACCTCTTCTGGTTGGCTCCACGATTGCCCATAAGCTTTTGGTTTTCTCCTCACACCCACCATCTTCTCCATGTCACCCTTGTATATCTATGATGAGAACTGTCTGCTAGCCAAAAATTGGTAGACAGTAATTTACATCAATGTTTACATCCCAAATATTGGTCATGAGATGAGAAAAACAAGAACAAAGACTAACTCAACAACCAATCACAGCAGAATTAGCGTGGGCAGATACAATTCACAGATAGATGATCTAGCCTTCAATGAAACGGCCACAAAGAGATGATAGATTAACTTCGTGTGAGAAAACGACCAATCAGAAGACAGTGTTTCTCTACTAACAGTAACCTTTAATATAATGTACATAAAATCTATAAAAAATCTGTTGCCTGACCCTTGTCTTCTGTAGTTACATGTCAAATTCGTCGTATCTCATTCAGGTTTAATCCAGCTTATTTAGCTGGACGATTAATTCTAACGTTTCTGTATGAATATTATTATTACTTCGATCGTACTGAAGTACACTTTCCATTATCATCGTTCCAGCCTTTTCATTTACTAACTGGAGTCAAGAAAATCTATTAGCGAGATTGTTGAACATTCATTATTATTATTATTATCCGTTACTGATGTATATATTCAATGAACACAACAATTTGCCTACTACTTACCTATTTTTGATGGAACATTCTCTATATACTCTTCATTTTTATTACCAGCTGGTAAATAATGCCCAACTACAAAGACAAAATTTCCTTGTTCAGGTATAGAAAATGCAAATCCAACTTCACGTGTAGTTTTCCAAATCATTTGAGTGAAATAACCTATTGAAAGGGAATACTATTCACAGATTACTTGGAAACTCAATGTTATCATATGAAATGCATGTATTTTTTGGTTGAAAAATAACAGAAAAATGTGAGTGAATCTCCTTGTGTAACTTAATATATGTGTAAAACTTGGGCACTGTGGTAGTAAGTAATTCCATATTGGTTTGTTTATTAGATGTATCACACAGTTAAACAGTATCACTGTTTACTGGATGACAAGGTTTCGAACAAAATGTTTTGATTATAATCATATCAATTGTAATCACACGACTTTGAAACTTGAGTTTTAAAGCTTTTTTTTTGTTCTCTCCTATTTGTCGTCATTGGAGTAGGATCCTGTGGAGCCTTTAAAAGAAAACAATTTAGTTTATCTACAACCCTGTCTGCGATGATTGTCAGATTAAATACGTAGGTCAAACAAGTAGAATAGGGGCAGTTAGACTGGCTGAATACAAAAACCTAGCAGCAAAATCTAGATTGGTTGACGCAAATAAGATAAGAAATCTAGACAATAGTTCAGCTATAGCCCTCGCTACATGCAGTTACACACAACCATACAATAGGATGATGGTATATAATGACAGTTTTAAAATCTTAATATAACAACAGGGTGGAGGGAGAGATAGATAACAACGGAAGCTTTGTTTATCGAATCAACTGCAAATACGTGTAATAGAAATGATTCAACACCTGTCCACTCAGATATCTGGAAAATTCTACTACCCATACGACAAGTAGGAGAAGGCAAAGAAAACTATAAAACTCAAGTTTCAAAGTCGTGTGATTACAATTGATATGATTATGAACAAAAAAATTTGTTCGAAACCTTATCATCCAGTAAACAGTGATACTGTTTCAATGTGTGATATATCGAATAAACAAACTAATATGGAACTCCTTGTGAGATATCTAAATGGATGATTTTAAACTAATATTAAAAAGATAAGTCCATAAAGCTGTAAGACTAACACTGGTACTTAGAAAGTATTTGGTGAATGGTGACTAGCATTGGAATCCAGGATATACATTTCTTCCTGTTTGGGAGTCGCCATCCAGATGTACCTGTGAGTCAGTGATGGTATTCCCACCGAGGCTCGAATCCAGTGCCCATAGTTTCAAACACCAAAACGTTATCCAGCAGACCACTTGGGGCCGAAATGAGTATCCTGGATTCCACTGCTAGTCACCATCCATCAATTAACTTCAAATTACATGCTCAGATATCCTCGAAGCATCTGCACAAGAAACCGACAGACACGTCAACCTGAGACCGAACACTTCGGTCCAATCAATTGATGGGAAAATCTAAAATTGAATTAAATAAACACTGTTACGATGGAGGAGATTTGTAACTCAGGTGGATAACTTTGATGTGGGTGTGTTCTCTGAGCTGGATAGTTCATTTGTGAAGCTTTCATTTGAAGTCTTCAAATTGAAGTATGCGATGAAGATGTTGCCGAGTAGGTCGCAAATTAACTATCCAGCTCAGAGAACATAACCACATCAAAAACACTGGTACATTGGTAATCATCAATACTGTAAGTTATTATTAACTCTCTGAATTAAGGTAGTAGAAGTCAACCATTAAGAATACCCACTTGACCTAGATTTTGAAGTTTTTGTCAGTCAACAATACAAAACATTTGAAGTCATTAATAAAAGTCATATTCTCCTCAATACTTGAACCGAGACCAGTCAGTGGTTGAGTCAAACACTTTAACATTGCGCTTTCTGAGTCATTATTGATGACTTGTAGCATTTGGTTATCCGTATAAATCAAATGATCGATAGTCACCTCTGATTATTTCAACTAAGATCTGTGCGTCATACATACATCGTTCTCAATGGATTAATTGACACGAAAGTACCAAATACTGAAGGAATTTTTTTTTCAATTAGATACACGGTTCAATACCTACTGATTAACATTCAAATGTTGGTTTGCAGGGATTTGATTGGTTACGGGATTTCATCATGAAGTGATACCGGTTAGAGAACCATTGGAAAATCCTCAGAAAATAACGGACAGCTGTTTCTTCTTGGTTTGTAATTCCGCATTAGTACGCACTCAGGTCATGATAACATCCTTCAATCAACCTACAGATTTATTCAAAAAACTAATGTCGAATTATAGTGTTTCGTAGTACACAGAAGACAGAGGTGTTGAAGATAACCAACCAACATCAGTAGCAACAATAACAATAACCAGCACCAGTCACCAGCAACAGGAGAGGCTTAACAGAGGTTACCCCATTTCACTTATCCGGCTAGGGTGCATCGTTTCAACTACAGGTGGAATGGATGAAGATTTCAAAGCCAGTCAGAATCGAAAAGACAAGATATGCCTTCATCAATCTGAAACCAGTTTGGAAATCTTCTACACTCAGCATGAGGAACAAGATTTGCATTTTCAACATCAATATCAAGTCGGTCAGTGTTTCTGTACGGGTCAGAAACTTGGCCAGTGTGTCACGAAAAGCATTTTCAACAGGCTATAGGCGGACTTTCATCAAGAGCTGCCCACTTCACTGGCTGGCTCCATACTGAAGATCAAATAGCCAACTAGAAAGAATAAGCCACAAAAAACTATGGGAACAAATTAACAGGTGAGGACCGATCGCTCGAAAAATATGTAGGAGAAAGTGGAGATGGATCGGGCACACATTGAGGAGATCGCCGAATGACATCGTTTGCCAGACCATGCGTGGCTCAACTGGAATCCAAATGGAAAGCAACGAGTCGGTTGTCTGTGCTTGGGTGACATGGAGGAGATCGTGTGAAGAAGAGATGAGAGAGTTTGGCCTGTCGTGGACCCACCTGCAGAGGACCACAAAAAGCAGAACAAAGTGAAGATTTGTTGTTGAAGTCCTATGTTCCACTCGGAACGCAAGGGAATAATAATAATATAGTGCAGATCATAGTAGTGTGACATAGTTTATTTATTTATCTATTTATAGTTTGATTCCACACCGTATTTTAGTACAAGTATGGAATTCTGAGCAAGTGATAGTGGCAGCGCAAATTTCGCAGGCCAACTATTGATATCATGTGTGCGTCGACAGGAGATCGAACCCCAGACCGTGTGCGTGGTCGGAGAGAGTTCTAACCTACGTGCCACAGCCGATAAAACTCCAGGAATACACACAGAAGTAGGTAGCTTCTGGTTAACGGGAACTTCAGGGAAACATTGAAAGTATTAAAAAACCATTTCATGATTTTATAGGGCTCTTCAATATTAAAAATGTATTAACCACTTTATTTGTTTAAAGGAATACTGATCAGGTTTTGGTTGAATTATTTCACAGTTTTTAAGAAGCCAAGAAAAAGCAGAAATAACTGAGAACTATATTTGTAGAAAATCTCAACAGTCTTGAAATAAATAATTCCAACGCTTCATTCAACACACCGGTCCTGATTTATACCAGAAGAAGTTCAGACTAGTTCTCTGAATATAACACTGAAGTTATTTATTTCAGTACTGCTGCGATTTAAACAAACATAGTTCCTATACATGCCTAATTTTCATTCCGCTTCTTAATGTTTGTAAAACTATTGATGGTCTGCTTAGAACTTTGGCTACCGAAAAAAACTCCATCAATATGTTGCATACAGTTTCTCTTATTCAGTTTGTTTAAATCTAGTAAAATATCACCTCTTATAGTGTTGTTGGTGATTCTGAACAATAACGGTCAAAAATGAAAATACCTAATGAATAGACCAATGACCTTGAGCAACCAGTCAGATAAGTTCTAAGTATATAGAGGGGAATATGGATGATGTACACGAATTATGTGGCGAATTTCAACCAAATCTAGTTATTAAATACTGCTTAGACAACCAGCTATTTGGAAGGAAGTGGGGAGGGGGTGGGGTAAACATGCAGCCTACTGTCGTCCCTGGGCTATATGCACAGCGTGGTCAGTCATACAGACAATTTCGTGGATCCTATTTGTGGGACTTGCACGAATTCCATTGAAGGTTTCTAGAGTTATCTAAAAAAGAGATTAGGAGAGGTGGATGAGTCAAGAAATAAGAAGATTTACAGTTATGTCGAGGCATTTATGCACAGAAATCGGTTTTACCTGCATATGAGGACTCTTATGAGAAAATGGAAGGTTTTCTTGGAGCATATACACAGACGTTGTCCTATATAACTACCTTTTAACACTGCATTACTTTTATATAAACACCTTTTTGAATTATGCACTTCCATTTCTGATTCATCTGATTGGTCAGTGGAGATCTGTCAAGGTTTCGTTTTGGGCTGCTATGGTTTAGAGGCACCAAAACATTATCCTCAATGGCAGCTTATTTCAGTACATGAGATAACCATTCCTCAGCGGTGGGCCTCGCTCATAAAATGCACTCCTTAACCTTTTATAAGTGGTATTCCACAAAATGTCCTCGTGTACTTCTCGAAGAAGTAAAAGAATAGAAAACCTAATTGATGATTGATTTGCGTTTCCGATGAGATAGAAATATGTCACACCATCTACTGTCAGTTAATCTGTTTTTATTTGAAGATCCTGATCGACGAATAGGAAATGTCATTCAATAAACTCCACTGAAAATTCTGTACATTATGTAAACATTGTTCGGAATAAAGCTATTACTATTATTTAAAAATAATCATGATTAATGTTCATATAAAGAGTATTACAAAACCATATGTGTGTTTTCAACTCGGTTTTACCACATATTTCAAGTTTTGCGTGATATGGAAAATTTCATTCACGTCAGTGAACAGAATATGAACATTCTATTGTTTGGTTTGTAAGGATTAGTTATGTTTTACGGGTTGATCACGGATTGATATCAGTTAGAGAACCATTGAAAACCAGGGAGTACTGGACAGCTGCTGTTTCATCCTAGTTTGGGAATCATCGGCAGTACGCACCCACTGGGATTCGAACCCGGGACCTTCCGGTTACAAGGCAAGCTCGTATACCATTCAGCCACTGGGACCCGATTCAATGGCTCGTGAATTCTAACTTCTACTAATTCGTGATTTAGCGCGACCCCAACCATTGTCGTTGGTGGGACATCCATCCACACACGTGACATCTAATTGGACCTCACTGGTCACGACTTCTCACTAGAACTCAGGAAACTCCAACCTGTAGCAAGTCACTAGCGAGCATCAGATTAACTTTCTATTGTTTGGTTTGTAAGGATTAGTTATGTTTTACGGGTTGATCACGGATTGATATCAGTTAGAGAACCATTGATATCAATCACGACATGGCTGTCCAGTACTCCCTGCAGGTTTTCCAACGGTTCTCTAACCAACATCAGCCCATTATAAAATAATCCAACCAATCAAACAGAAGTTGTCTACAAAACCAATACTTGGAAATTGAATGATCATTCTTAAATTTAATCAAAAGTGAAACCGAAATCGTCAGGAAGGCTTTGTAAATTCTTTTCAGCTGCTGAATGACAAAAGCAGATGATATTTCAAATCCATGATGTTTGAGGATAAAATAACAACAAAACACGTAGTTGAACGAAGAGGCATGATAGAATGTAGTAAAAAAAGTGATGAGCAGTCACAAGCATGTGACACAAATTAAGGCAGTGAAGGATGCCAATGGAAAGTCAATCACCAAAGAAGTGGAGTAAAGGAAACGCTGGGCTGAACACTTCAAAAGACTTCTAAATCGACCGCCATCCACGACACGCCCAACAATACCAACAACGGAAGCAGAACTACTAGTGAACACCAAACCCCCGACGAGGACGGAAGTTCTCAAGGCAATCAAGATGCTAAAAGCTGGAAAAGCAGCAGGACCAGATGGAATCCCAGTAGAAGCATTGAAAATGGAACCAGAGACAACAGTGGGCTTGATAACGCCATTGCTGGAGAAGGTGTGGAAAGAGGGCAAAGTACCCGAGGATTAGAAAACGGATACTTATTCAAACTACCAAAGATAGGAGACTTAAGTTAGTGCAAAAACTGGCGCCGAATTATGCTCCTGTCCATTCCAAGCTAAATACTAAGCCATATCATTGTGGAGAGAATCAATCAAGCCAAGCTGGATGAAAAACTTCGACCAGAACAGGCTGGATTCGGGAGAAACAAGTCATGTATTGATCAAATCGCCAGACTTCGGATCATCATTGAACACAGCTTGGAATAGCAGTCAGCTCTCTACCTCAGTCAACTTCAACGACTTTGAAAAGGCCTTCGACAGGCCTTGCTACTATGGGGTGCCGCCGACAATTATACATCTCACCCAACAGTTGTACGACAATGCTGCAGGCCAAGTAATCCACAACAGTAAACTTACGGAATCCTTCAAAATGAAGACGGGAGTAAGGCAAGGCTGCCTACTATCGTCAATAATTTTCCTGATTGCAGTAGGTTGGATAATTCAACAGACAGCGAGCAATGAGGAGACAGGTATAAGATGGACCCACACAAAAAACTCGGCGGATCCGGACTTCGCCGATGATATATGTCTGACTTCCCACAAACTGGAAGATATTCAAGTGAGAAGAAACAAGCTGGCAGAAGAAGCATCAAAGATAGGACTTACTTCAGATGAACATAGAGAGAACAGAGGTGATGAAGATTCCTGGCCAACAACAGACAACAATTAGCATAAATGGGAGGAACCTGAAAGAAACGACCTCCTTTACCTTCCTATCTACCTATCTGAGAAGCATCGTTTCAACTACAGGCGGAATTGACGAGGATATCAAAGCAAGGATCGGGAAAGCAAGACAAGCTTGCATTACTCTCAAGTCTGTGTGGAGATCAACAGCACTCAGCATCAAAAATAAGGTCCAGATATTCAACTCGAATGTGAAGTCAGTGCTACTCACTATACGGATGAGAGACATGGCGAATCACGAAGATGGCGCTTCGAACAAAATTCGGACCTCTATCAACTGCTGTCTTCGCTGAATACTACTCAAGATCAGATGGCCGGTTGGAAGAGATTAGCAATAGGTTGGGATCTCTTAGAACAAACCAACACAGCGGGGACCAATAGTGTAGCAAATATGCAGGAAGAAATGGAGGTGTATTGGTCATACTCTGGGGAAACAATCAAGTGACATCTCAAGACACGCCCTCGAGTGGAACCCGAAAGGGAAGCGGAGAGTTGGTCATTCAAGGGTGACTTGGAGGAGGTCATGTGAAGAGGAGATGAAAGCATGCGGGCAGACTTGGAGTCAGGTGAAAACTCTAGCACAGAACCGAACTCAATGGGGACGCGCGGCTGAAGCCCTATGTTCCTCTAGGAACTAAGGGAAACAATAATAATAATGTGTATTATAGTTACGTAATAGAATGAACAATCTAATAAGCTGTAATAAAGTAACACGTCGAAACAGGAAACAGTATGGAACTATGTAAGAGTTAATCTTTTAATCTTCTTCAGAAACCCTCTATGGAATTAGTATGAGTGATCGGAATGGTTAGCTCGGTGGTGTAAATGTCCTAAATCTGATAATCGGTTATACCCTGTTCATTCATCCGTGTGTATAGTAGTGCCAGGCAAAAGGAGTCCTTGAATAACAGGCAGAAGAGTGTCGGCACTCCTGTCTGGAATAAGTTCAATGAATCCCTTCTGAATTTAGATGCCATAAATTTCCAATAGCCAAAGGTTGTAAGCTCTAGTACGTTTGCGATTGTATTTCTTCTTTATAAGCACTGTTTCGTCGATGTATACGACAACACCCATTCCTCCTAACACTTGTGTAATATTGTTCATTTTCCTTGATGCTAAATCTCCAGAAGATTGAAACCACTGTACAGTAGACATCAGTGTATTATGTGTCTGAGCGGCAGTTGACCTCACACCGGACTTCAAAATCCAGTAATGGCAAAGGAACAGTATATTCTCCAAGGAAAGTTTCGAGTTTGCAAAGAAAATTCCTAGAAGATAATTAACTGAGAGTGTCACTTACCAGTACAAACGCTTGTTCGTTTCCTATACTCCATACATCTGCATACATATCAATCAATGACCTGTGAATATGGTTGCAGGCTCATTGAAGCACCTCAACTACATATTTGAGTACGTCCTATCAATCCATTATCCAGACAGTATTGAAATACATGATATGGGTGAAATTTTCACCTGAGCAGCCGAACAGTTTTCATTTTCGTGCTAAAATAATCGTTGGTTTCTTCAATCAACTACTAACATGATTTCAAAGTCATTTGGGCATTCGTACTCCTAGGACGCTACTCTTGAACTTCACCCTAGTTAGTTCGCGTGCTCCAACTATCATAGTTACCACAGAAACTGAGACCAAATCGAGTGTGAAAAACCTTGGATTGTGTATCTCCCCTGATCACCTTTCCTGGTCTTCCCACATCATCTTAGTTTACAGAGAGAGAGAGAGATTTCCTTCAACGTTCCACGTAAGGAAGTTAAGAAAATCCGGTACCAATCGACCTCTACTTATACACTTTGTTGATTCTTGCATTTCATCTATTCTTCTTCAGCGCTCCCCCACTCCACTTTAATCTCTCCTAGACTACTTCCTAAAGACGTTGTCACCCTGCTAAGACAACTAAAAGCCGTCAGCGTGGAGGGTGAAGTATCAGTAAACCAAGTCGTTAATACTGTTGTCGACATTGGACACATGGACTCATGCAAGAAATTAGCGAGTCTTATCAACTGTCTCTCTGATGCATCTCATCAGGTAGAACTAACAGTGACTGTGGCAGTCTGTATACTTGGACGGCTTAGTATAAAGCCTATGTGATACCTTATTTTGCAGGCACACATTCTGATATAATGTGGAATGTGTGAAACAGGTGATTAACAATCTACTGAAGAACTCTAAGGAAACAGCCTTCTTAATTTTATGCTCACATCCTAATTAAATAAAATTATTAATGTAAGCGGTGTGTTTGAGTTATTACCCTTGTAATAAGGAAGTTAGATGCTATACGATGATGCTGTGTTACATGCTGTACCACATTTGTACCAAAAGTACTGTTTAGAATAAAGCCATTATTATTATAGTTATTTGTTAAATTTAAAAATTACTAAAAAATGAAAACAACAGCACAAATCACCTCTGTTCAGTTGAAAGTGCTCTTTATAATCATAATTTTCTGACTGTTTGTACCATGCTTGTATTGCATTAAGACCTGAAAGGAGAGGAAACAAAGAACATGATGGTTTATGAAAAGCACTAAACAATATTCAAATGCACAAGATTCGCAGCAGTTGAATAAGTAAGAAGACAGTTGCAGCGAGGAAAATCTTCTTTTCGACAAAGTCATCATCTAGGCTGTACATTCGTGTATTTATATCAAATGGATGGGAAAGTTCCAGAATAATATCCGGTCAAGGGTCAAATTAATAAAAATTAAAATTGGGAATTAGAATGCCATAATAAACAAGGGGATGGATAAAACAAACAAACAAAGTAGCATCATAATAACTAAGAAGACTGACATTGTGCAATTAGGGGTTAGAAATGTAGAAATAACAAAATAGACAGGATGTTTGGATAAAAACTAATGTGATGAATACATGTGATGAATACATTTCTAACCCCTATTGCACAATGTCAGTCTTCTTAGTTATTATAATGCTACTTTGTTTGTTTGTTTTATCCATCCCCCTGTTTATTATGGCATTCTAATTCCCAATTTTAATTTTTATTAATTTGACCCTTGACCGGATATTATTCTGGAACTTTCCCATCCATTTGATATAAATACACGAATGTACAGCCTAGATGATGACTTTGTCGAAAAGAAAATTTTCTTCGCTGCAACTGTCTTCTTATTTACTCCTATGACCCAATGTGTATATTCCGTGAGTTGAATAAGTATTCATAAGAAAAAAAAACAAACAAAATATAAGTTTTAAAGTAAAGTTCTATTATATATATATATATATATATATATATATATATATATATATATATATATATATATATATATATATATATATATCAAGGCGAGTTGTTTACTGTCTAAGTTAAACTTTAGACATCAATGCGACCGCACCAGTGGCCTTGAAACGCTCAATGAGTAAGTTAGTAAAGCCTGGCCACTACTATCGTATTCATGAATAAGGTATGTTTAATGAAGTGTTATATTATTAAATGAGATATCTGGTAAATTTAGCGTTAGGGTTTGATTAACCTGATAAGAGCAAGATTAGGGTTGGTTAGAGTTAGATTAACGTTAGTCTGGGGATATTTACACTTTAGGGTTAGGTTAGAGAAAGATTAGGGTTTGATAATATTAGATAGCTGGAGACAATCGACCAGAGGAAGCCTTCAACCTAGCTTTCGTACTAGCTGGCAGTCGTCAGCTCAGTGGTAACGTCTCTGACTGCAGCACCGAGTTTCGCGAGTTCGAATCTCACAAGGGACATGAGTTCCTTCAAGTTCGCAGATACGCCATGCTGACGAGTGCCAGGTAGTACAAAACCTAGGTTGAAGGCTTCATGTGGTCGATTGTCTCCAACGATCTCATATCATCAAATCAACGTGCACCATGATAGCGAGCTACATAGGGTGGTGGCCACATTGCAAACCTGACTGATAGACTTCAGTCTGCATCAAAGAGAGGACTAGACATGTCACAGTAGTTACTAGTGTCCAATCATAGATTAGGATTCTCCTTAGGTTAAGAAGAATAGAATGCATAAGATGCGGTCAAATTAATTTATTGATACTGCAATCGAAAATTGAAAGGTATTTTTGTCACATATCAAAGAAGGGTATCCTGTATAACAGTGTGTGGTGTGTTCAGGGTCATTTGTCGTTTGGTACTTACTGATGCTTAAAGTTTAACTTTGCCGTTTATTTTCTACTTTCTGTTACACCGTAGAAGAACTGTTCTAGATCCAGAAGATCCCCTTGTCAACAGTTCATTTGAAGTGTATATTGTTTAACTAGTTATGAAGTATTAAAAATAATGTGGATTTAAATAATCCAAAAATAACTTTTTATTTGAATCATGCTTAATTACTGAAATGCGTGACATCTCTTTCTATGTGAAGATTAACATCTGAAGCATAAAAGAAGTAAGCCAACCCATTTTTATATTTATTATTCCATATGATATGTAACCCAATGACTGCGCGATTCATAAACGGCAAGGCTACCACTATTTAGCCAACGAATGAGTCAGAAGTAAATGACTTACATTTTGCAGATTCTGCTTATTTGCTATAAACCATAACTGAGTAATTATTATTCCCGACTGACTTAGTGTAATGTGTCTGTCATAAATCTACGCTTACTGTTATTACTGCTCTCTTGTGGTGAGAGCTGTCTGCTAGCCAAAATTGTGGACAACAACTTTCGTCATGAGAAAAAACTATAACAAAGCTTAACCTTGAGAAACTCATCAACCAATCACAGAGGACTTAAAGTGGGAAAATACGATTCGCAGATATATGGCTTAACTTTCTAAGAAACGGACACAAAGAGATGACAGAATAACCTTTAGCAAGAAAACAACCAATCAAAAGACGTTGCTTCTCTGCTAACAATAACGAGTAATAATCTACATAAAAATCTATTGGCAGAAGTTAGAATTCAAGGACCATTGGATCGGGTCCCAGTGACTCAATGGTCTACGAGCTCGCCTTGTAACCTGAAGGTCATGGGTTCGAATCCCGATGGGTGAGTACTGCTGAAGAGTCCCAAACTAGTACGAAACAGCTGTCCAGTACTCCCAGGTTTTCCAGTGGTTCTAACTGATGTCAGCTCATGATTAAATCCTCCATGCTATAAATATCTGTTGATTTTCCTAATAAAGGATTTGTTGCCTGGCCCTTGTCTTCTATCGTTACACTTTTGGGTTCCGAGTGGAACATAGGGCCTCAGCAGCATACCTTCACCTTGTCCTTTTTTATGCCGTCCCGTTAAGATGATCCTATTATTGTCTATATTATCTGATCTTATTCTTGCACGCTCTTCTTCATGTCACTATCAGACACTCAACTTGGATTTCAGTCAACCAATTGTCTGGCATGCAATGGGATTCGATGGTCTCCTCAGCGTTTGGTGGGTTGGTTTGTTCCCAGTGTTTCTTGTTGTTACTTCTTTCTAGCCTACCATTTGATCTTCAGTATACAGCTAGCCAAGTGAGTTGTTCATAAAACTGTGCAATAACCTGTTGGAAAAGCGTTTCATAACTCGTTGGACAGGTTTCATGTCGAAGAAGTGATTGACTTGTGTTAAAAATCCTAATTTTGTTGTTTATGTTGTGAAGCGTAGAAGATTGCCGAAATGATTTCAGAGAGATGAAGGTTTGTATTGCTTTTCAGATTCTGGCTTTGCTAATTTCATCCGTGTAGTGTGTCTATAGTTGAAACGATGCTGTCCAGATAGGTGAAGGAAATAACCTCTGTTGAACATCTTCCATTAATAGGGATTGGTACTGGTTATTGTCGGTTGATTATATTCACTTCAATTTTGATAAATCTACCCTGCAGACTCACTGATGACTAATTAGGGGGTGAACGTACATTTTCAAACAAAGTGGTTAATTACTGTTACATTGTTATTTTAGTTTCCTTCAGTTCCTATAAGAACATGTAGCTTCAGCCACACGTCTCCACTGCGTCTACTACTCCGCAAACGTTTCCACCTGCCTCCTCGTCTACAAACATCTTTCCATCTCCTATCCACATCACCTCCTCCATGTCATCCTCGAACTCATAACCAACTAACTCACTATTTCTAATTCGACTTCCACTAGAATGATGGCCTGCTGAGTGATCTCACTCACTTGATGGTTTTCTCAGAGGACAGTCAGCCAATCCACCTCTGTTTATTCCTACATATTTGCTACAACATTGGTTAGTGATGTGTTGGTTCGCTATCAGAGATCCCTCCCTACTGCTGATCTCTTCTATCCGGCCATCTGATCTTGAGTAGTATTCAGCGAAGACAGCAATTGATAGAGGTCCGAAGTTTGTTCGAAGCGCCATCTTCGTGATTCGCCATGTCTCTCATCCGTATAGTGAATAGCACTGACTTCACACTCGAGTTGAAAATCCGGATCTCATTTTTCATGCTGAGTGCTGTTGATCTCCACACAGACTTGAGAGTAATGCAAGCTTGTCTTGATTTCCCGTTGATGCTCACTGCGATGATATCCTAATCAGTTCCGTCCACCTATGCTTCCCAGTTAGGTACGTAGGTAAAGGAGGTTGATTCTTTCAGATTTCTCTCCCCATTCATGCAGGCTGATTGTTGTCTGTTGTCGTTGCTGTATCTGTAGCTGTAGCTGTTGGTCAGGAATCTTCATCATCTCTGTCTTCTCTGTGGTCACTTGAAGGAAGTCCTATCTTTGTTGCTTTTTCTGACAATTTGTTTTCTTCTGGGTGACCGGAGTAGATCACTGACTCTCCTGTTGACACTTTTGTGAGTCCACTCCCATGCCATCTACTATCACATATTCCCAGTACTTGGATTCCGTATCTTTTCACTTAGTTTGCAATCTGAGCAGCTTTGCCAGTCTTATACATGGTGCAGACGTTCTACGTCTCCACACAGACTTTTTATTTTGTCGCAAGGAGACTCATTCTACCGAAGTTTCTGTAGCAATTTTGTTTACTGGTTGAAGTTGCTAGCCTCACACCTGACAAGGGAATCGTTACATGAATGTGTAGTTTACAGAGGAGTGACTTTTTCCGTTGCTCCTGAATTAGGCCGACTTGTGCATGTATATCCAACAATAAACACAATAATAGATATTTATTATTAGTGAAAGGTATGCTATCAGTGTGTTTAACAGTCACAAATTGGCAGTTTATACACATAGAATCAGTGTTTGAAAGTAAACCAATTACAACGACTTCTTCTTGGCGAGAAACACCAGAGAAATGATAGTTTCATGTAACTAAGCAAATGTAACACACAAATCGAAAGGAGCGACAAGGTCCTTCGAAAGAAGTTGAAATAAGCTAAGGAATTCCAACGGTTTTGTTGCATAGTAGTGCAATAACAGCATGACTCATGCGGCTTAAACTTTTCGATCTTCGGTCTACCTATTAGTTAAGTGCTCTTTGGTTTTCTAATTTCGGGTGTAATTAATCTTCAAGTTTGAATAGCTTCATGAAAATATTCATAACTTTTGATAAATCAAAAAGGGGAATCCAATATTTTCTTTCT